AGAAGACCTGGAAGACGAAGAAGGGTGCGACAGCGTGCTCGAGGAAGAGATCGACGAACTTGGGCTTGGGAATGTCGAGCTCGTTCTTGCCAAAGGTGCCGAGCGCGAGCTCGACGTCCTTCTCGGTCTTGAAGCCGCGGTTGGACTGGAACTTGGAGAGGGGCGGCTTGGAGTCAGCGGGATAAGGGAGGCGACGGAAGGTGGGAACATCGATGAGCGGCGAGACAAAGATGTCCGTCGGGGCCGCGGAAGGGTCAGGGGTGGCGAGGATGTACTTGTCGGCCTGGTAGGTGAAGGAGATCTCGACGGGCAGGTTGGAGCGCTCTACGCGGTCGAGAGAGACGATGGCGCCCTCGCCCTTGTGGAGCAAAGGGTGAATGCGGACGAGCTGAGCATCCTCCAGACCCTTGGCGGAGACGCAGGTGGTGAGTGCCCTGGCGGCGATGCTCCACTTGGTGATGAGGAAGCTGAGTGCGTGGCCGGAGATGAGAAGGACGGTGAAGACGAAGGTCCACTCCTCGGATCTGACCCACTCGTCGTACTTGACAAAGTAGGCATACGCCCAGATGGGGTAGAGCGAGAGGAATGGGATCACGTAGAGGTGGAGGTGGGTTGGGATGCGCTTGTGCAGCGAGATGCTGGCGATCTCTGGGGACTGGATCGCAAGCTTCATGCTGGGCGAAGCTGTGCTACGACTGCGGCGACCGGTGCTTCCGGCAGCAACAGTAGCGGAGACGGCAGCAGCAGCGAAGCCTGTGTAAATGTGCGTTGCGTGCAAGCGTCCGAGCTTGACACGAAGAGATCGACGCCTGAGGGAGCGTGGATGTCTATTAGCGATGACCGTGCTGTGCGGTGATGGCCAAGAAGATGGAAGGACAAGGGGTCTGTGCCGCAATAGAAATTGATTTCGGCGTGGAGTGAGTGGCTGACGCGCACCTCGAGCAAGAAGATCTTCCTTTGCGCTCCACCACCACACCGCCTGCAGCCTTTCTAGCTAGGCTTCATTGGCTCCGGCCCGCCTCTCTCCCTGCTGTCTGTTCTCGCATTCGTTTCGCTCGCTCCACGTCGACATTGTCTTACGCGGCCAGCTCGAAAAGGTCGGCTTCCCACTTGACTTGAGACCGCCCGAAACTGAGAATGTTAGACTGTTGCACGATATCATCACGTGGATTGTCGCACGAGTGGCTCAACACGACCGAGCAGCGACTGAGCGAGCGGACAGAGACGCGCGCGCGTCTCGACTGGCGTTGTTGCGCCGAGAGCAACACCTCCGCAACGGGAAAAGTTACACAGCCAGCCAACACGATTTGAATCGCGACAGATGCGATGATCCCAACCACCACTATCACCGCCGTCATCATCATCAGATCGCGCCATGGAGAACCCACATGTGAGTGCAACATTCTCAGAAGGAGGACCACACCAAGAAGCCGAGCTGACGAGATCGGAAATCTGATTACGACATTGCAGGAGGAGAGGCAATCTCTGCTTCTGGAGCGGATTACCAAGAGCGTGCATCGCCTCAACGAGGCGCTGCAGGAGCTCGACCGCTCCGTAGTCGAAATCAACAACCACAACCAGGCCGTCATCATCGTGTCCGATCTCTCGGAAGCCGTAAGTCGTGATCGCGGCTGCATACATGTCGGAGCAGGCGGCGTCGCTGACCTTCACCTGCTCGTCTCCTTCTCACAACTCTTCCAACAGTACCGTCGCAATGCAGCATTCAACCTGTACAACATGGACGCTCATGCCGAAGACGTGCAAGGAAAGAGCTCACTCGGGTGAACTCCTACGATTCGATCGGTCCGTCGTCCAGGATCGGTTGCACCGTCCTCAGCTTCGTCCATCGACCCTTCTACCGCTCGAATCGCTGTGATCACTCGTCGAGTATACGTAGAGGCACGGACTGCCCCCTTGTATTTGTATCTGCTCTTTCCGCCTCGATCTGCCGACGAAACGTGCGCTTCCTTGCGCGCTGTCGCTCGTTCCTGATGAATGAATTATACCCTCGAACAGTTGCGCTTCTTTCTGCAAGCTCATGCAGGGACTGACCATGGAGAGAGCTTACTAATCTATCTGTATCATGATCCCCATCGGCGGAATCAGCACTACTTGCCAGACCTTGAAAACTTATGAGCGAGAGAGAAGTGAAAGCTAGGCTATTCACGGCAAAAGCCGGTTGTTGTTAGATCTTGGAGTTTCTCTGCTCGCCCGACTTTCCGCCCCGGCGCAACTCTGATTGGCCCACCGGCCCGCCGAGGCAGAATGTTATCACTCCCCAGCCGAGATAAGAAGGGCGTTTGCATCGGACGTTTGCACCTTCGAAACCTTCCAACGAGGGTCCGACATTGCAGCTTGACCGAGATTGCACCGGTGATTGCGCCAAAGTCGGACGAGCTTATCGGCAGCCGTTCCGAAAGAGGTGGATCGGTCGGCGGAAGAGCAGCAGTGGATCCGGGAAGAGCCGCGAAAGAGTGGTTTCGCACCTGTGTCTGTATGAGTGTCAGGAAGGATGCCACGCGCAGCGCGCAAACGTTTCGCAGGGAGCCGATGGCAGATTGCTCATCAGGCCGAGCCTGATACAGCTGCTTTGCCAGGGAGGGAGGTGGCAGCGGATTTGATCGTTGATGGAACAGAGGAGTCGTCCTAAAGCCGATGATAGCCTGCGGAATGGCTATAATTCGCCCTCCGAATTCGCCGACGCAGTAGGGTGCGATTTCGCCGCCGCCTCTCATTCGCCTCCAACGCTCTGCGGGGGCGGGGGCGCAAAAGATAAGACAAGAAGAAGTGTCAAGCGAGTTCGAAGCGGCCACAGATGCCTTACAGCGCTAGCTCATTGGATCAGCTTATCAAAATCCTTGCATGGATCCCTCTCCGCATGCTGTCCACGCCAGACACGCGTGCTTCGCCATGCAGGGACCAAAGCTCGTGGTCTTTCGTTAGCCCGGCCTTCCACCACATATAAGCAAGCGTCTCGTGTCGGATCGCTCAGAAGTCCGTCAAACCTGTCCATCCCACCAACGACCAGTCGCCACCATGCCGATCTCGAAATCCCCCTCGATGGAGGCGGCGGACGACGCCAAGCTCGATGCGTACGTCGGTGAAGTCAGCTCGACGCCCTATGTCTCGTCCGCCGACGGCGAGAACGCCAAGGCGCAGGCGCTCGACATCGATGCTTCGACCATCACTCCGGCAGAGCTCAAACAAGTGCTGCGCAAGATCGATCTGGTCATCATGCCCCTCCTGTGCGTCGCGGTCCTGCTGCAGTTCCTCGACAAAACTTCGCTCAACTATGCCTCGCTCCTTGGTCTCAAGAAGGACACCAATCTCAAGGGGCAGGAGTACTCGTGGCTCGGCTCCTTCTTCTATGTCGGCTACCTCGTCGCCACCCCCATCCACGGATTCTTCCTCCAAAAGATGCGTCTCCCACGCTATGTCGCCATCTGCATCGTCCTCTGGGCCATCTCGCTCGGCGCACACGCAGCTTGCAAGAACTATGGCCAGCTCTTGGCAGCGCGATTCTTCCTCGGTGTGTTCGAAGGGTCCCTCACAACGGCCAACATTCTCCTCACTGGTCGATTCTACACCCAGCAGGAGCAGGTCACACGCACTTCGATCTGGTTCGCCAACAACGGTTGGGCACAGATCCTCGGCGGAGGCATTTCGTACGCTCTCCAGGTGCAGAAGCCCTCCAAGCTCAAGGTGTGGCAGCAGATGTACCTGATCCTGGCCGGCGTCGCACTGGCATTCGGTATCGTGGTGTGGTTCTTCATGCCCGACTCGCCCGCTACGATCCGATACCTCAACGAGCGCGAGCGCCAGGTGGCCGTGCACCGCATTAAGCAGAACAAGTCCGGTATCCACGACTCCAAGTGGAAGTGGGACCAGCTCAAGGAAGCCGTGCTCGACCCACGTCTCTACCTCTTTTTCCTGGTCGTCTTCACCGCCAACGTCGCTAACGGTGGTGTCTCCAACTTTGGTTCCGAAATCATCAAGCAATTCGGCTACAACTCCAAGACTACAGCGCTTCTCGGCATGGCACCAGGCGCGTTGGAGGTTGTCGCAGTTTACTTTGGCGCTTGGCTCGCCTTCGCCACTGGCACCCGTGTCATCCCCGGTGTACTCATGTACATGCTCGCCGTCGTCGGAGGCACCATGATGATCGCTATCCCGGCCCATGCCAAGGCCGCTCGCTTTACCGGCTATGTAATCGTGTATTGCTACCCTGTCGCTAGCCCTTTCTTTTACAGCTGGCTCAGTTCCAGCGTGTCCGGAACGTCCAAGAGGATCGTCTTCAACACCGTTCTCCAAGTCGGATACTCGGTGGGCAACCTCGTGGGTCCCCAGACCTACCGAGCCAAGGATGCACCAGACTACGTGCCTGCCAAGATCACGCTCATCGCCATGTTCGGCGCGGCAGCCGTGTGCTTGACCGCCATCGGTTCGGTCCACTACTTGTGGAACAAGCAGAACGGTCTGCTCGCCAAACCTACCGAGGCCGAGGCAGGCGCACGAGATGACCACGAGGACCTCACAGATCTTACGGATAAGCAGCGTACGTCCTTCAGATACCCCTACTAGAGCACACGCNGGCCGAGGCAGGCGCACGAGATGACCACGAGGACCTCACAGATCTTACGGATAAGCAGCGTACGTCCTTCAGATACCCCTACTAGAGCACACGCAATCAATTCTTTTGCAACGGATCTGGATTAAGCGTTTGAGGGAACGAGACCATGGTGAGCATGACGGATGACAAGGTGCGGAAATTGCAAGCGCAAAGTGACAGCTGCAGCTGCAGCTGCACACGCCCGCTGCGGGACCCGCATGCAAGGCCTGAGCGTCAACCGCAATTGTGCGGAGATGAACCCACGCTCGGGCCTCGTCCAGCTGTCTCAACCCACTCGAGGACCTCAATAATTGGGTAGCCTAGCGGCAGCCAACGAAGTGCGCACATCCAAGTGAAACGATGCAGTGCGGGTAAGACTTCATTTCGTCCCCTACACGGCGGCTGCAATGCGAAGCGCAACACGGACCGGAGCGGCGACAGTTTGAACGTACGTCACGTCCTGATGCTCCAACCATGCCTGCATGTCAACCTCGACCCTCCAAGCGCTGTGTTTGTCACCCCAGGGCTCGGATCCTTCTTCAAGGTCGATCGGGCTGATCGAAATCCATGGCGTCGCGGTGCAGTCGTACTTGATGCGATCGATCGTGCACTCTTTGATTTTGTCCTGACCTTCGCATAGCACGAGGAAATCGATTATGGTCGCCGCATCAACCAAGCACGAGAAGATCACGTCCGAGCTCGACTGTCTCGAATACCTGCGTGACGATGGCGATCGTGGACTCGGGGACGTGGGTCTGGGTTCGGTGATTGCGACGGGCATCTCGCGCAGCGGAGCCATGGTGCGGGATGTAAGACAGCGTTTGAGCGTCGTTACTGCATCGTGCGGACTGAGACGCACGCGCTTGAGTGCGTTGTCGTCCACGCGCTGGTCACCGTCTTGGCTGTTCCTCCACGGCAACCATGACTTGGCGGCACCAGCAGTCCGCTCCGTCGGGAGGATGAACGTCCAAGACGCGAGGATTAGCACGCCAAACACCACGAGCGTCTGCAGCTGATCGATCAGCCCAAGCATCGTGTCCACCACGTCGACTCGGCCTCGCTTGCTCTTCGGTCTCGGTCGGCCTGTAACAGCGCGAGGACTTCCTGTGGCGCCAGTGACAGCACCTTGCATCAGGGCAAAGAATCCGTTGATCAGCGCGAGCGACAAGAGCACCGCACGCGAGTCTGACGGGACATCCTGCACAAGCCTGTCCGTCGCAGATTGCGCAACAAGCGATGTCTCGCTGGCGCTGTCGCCAGACGTGCTGACAGAACGTGTCGAGTGACGACGCTGGTGAGAAGGTCGACGAGAGAAAGACGAGCGGCGCTTCTTCAGCCCCTCGTCCATCGAGCTGCTCGCCGAGATCGTGACCAGACTAACGCCCTCGGGAGTCATAAAGTGTTTGTTGGAGCCAAGCATCGCCACGCCGACGCTTGTCGACGGAACCATCTGCACGGGCGCCACCGTCAGCACCTCCCACGATCCCGTCTCGAGCGCGGCGCTCAGCAGTCCGCTATTCTCTTCTAAGTACCGTCCAGGCAGCAGCCAGGTCTTGCCCGATCGAAAGCTGCGCACCGCCACTAGCTGGTCGTGCATCTGCAAGAGCTGCGCAATGTCGAGCACGTCGAAAGTCGATGCGCTCGCGCCCCGCAAGTTCCACAGTCCAAGTGTGGCGCTCCTGGTGGCCTCGTGCCAGACGCCGAGCTTGAGCGCAGGTCCTGCGCCGTCGCCGATGAGATCCTCAAAAGCGGCATTGGAGAGGACACGGCCTTTCTCCTGCACCCGGACTCGCTCGCTCTGGCAGCTCAGCTTGGCAGGACCAGCCAGTGCACGCATTGACGTGCTTGTCGGTGCATCTGCTCGGTCAGATAACCACAGCTTGGCATCCGTAAACGCTCGGAATGAAGCGTGGTATCCTGTGAAGTCCTGCCGAGAGTCAGCCTCGGTGTGGCAGTGAGCCAGCATGTCTGCATCACAGACGTGCTCTGGAAGCAGGAGCGCGTTGTACACGTTGTGCGCCAGGTGGTGTCGGTGCGCATCGGGAATGTTGGGGAAGAAGTCATCGGTGCATCGGATGGTCATGCCCTGGCTGTGCAGCGTCCTCGCGGTATTCGCCAGTGCGGGCGTGAAGGCCATCGAGTGAATCACTCCGCCCGAGCCAAAGTAGCGTGCAGCTGCACCCTCCATGGCTTCGAACATGGCTTTGCCAAGCTCTCCGCCCCCTGGCATCATGTCGTTGCTTCCCTTGGTGAGCGGCTCGGTCGGAGCTTGCGTCCACTCCCACTCGGCCTGGGCGTCGATCTTGACAAAGTCGACGCCGCTGGAACGGAGCGAGTGGAACGCTTTGTCCCAGAACAGATGCATGTCGAGCTCGGTGGCTGGCAGCCACCATTCCCGATCGGCGTGGCGATAAGGGTCGTGGATACGCATGGACCTGAGCGGCGAACTCAGACTTGATGCAATGCTTCCATTGGGATTGATGCCGTCCCAATATCCCGCCAACGTCATCCAACATCCCACGGACCGGATCGACGGGAATCGGTTCCGAATGTAGCCGACGTACGATACCAGAACGGACTGGCTGCCATCATGAGGATGCGCGGCATCGACCACGTCCAGCATCGTCGGGTTCATATCGAAGCTGCTGAGCCGACCTCGATGATCTTGCGTGTGCAGCACGTCCTGCCAGCCGTCATCGATGAGTAGAGAGGTGATGGAGCCAGGACCAGTCCTTTTTTCGGCAGCCTCGAGCGCAGCCACGACTTCCGAGAGGTACGGACGACGTTCGTGGCTGTGCATCGCCTCCCAGGTGCAAAAGCCAAGACCCGCCTTGGGCTGTCCGGAGCTTGGGGGGCTGTCCGCGTGAACGGTGCGGTCCTCGTGGATCGTCGAGGCATCGTCCGAGTCGCTGATACTTTGCGTGTCGTCTGTGGACAGGAGTTGGGAATCTTCCATGCCCTGGGTGGTGATCGTGCCCTCGACGGCAGTCGAATCCGAGTAAAAGGAGATGTCGATGCACTCGGGCTCCGAATAGATCTTCGTGTCTGCAGAGACCACGTCAATACCTGCCGCGAGAGGTGCCTCGACGTCGAGAGCTTTGGCAGCAGACCAAGGTAGACCGAGCGGCTCATGGCCGCAGGTTCTCAGCAGCCTCGCCGCGTGGGAGCGACACGCTTTGATGGTCCTTTCCAGCTGCGTAGAGGCACCGAGGGCCAGCGCGACCTTAACTTGGACACGCGGCGAAGCAATCTCGATCTGGAAGTTGGCCTTGTTGTTGATGCTTGAAGAGCGGACGAATCTAGGCGGAAGCACGGTATCGTCAAAGACAGGCATGAGGACAAGCACCTCGCCCGCGGCCGCCTTGCTGAGCTCGAGAACCAACAGGCCTGCTGCAAAGTCGGGTGAAACTTCGTGCAGAGATCGAAATCGTCTGGATGTACACCATGTCGACTTGGTGCGCTCAATGACCAGGCCCGATTGCACCTCGCTCGCATCGATGTCGAAAGAGAGACTCGTCGCAGAAGCGCCGCCGCCGTGTGTGAGAGTGGCTAGCTCGACGGAATGGTCGTGCTCCTGGAAAGGGCTGAGTTCTAGCCGGGTGCCACGGTGTGGCAGCACGAGCTGTCGGATGGCCGGAGGGAAAGCATCGGAGGAGGGCAGACGAATGCGACCGTCGGTGGAGGGCGAGCCGAGCCAGTCAATCTGACCGTCCAGATGTACGATCCGATAGGTGAAGTTGAACGTACCCTCGCTTGCGGCGGGGAGGCATTGCACGCGGGCGGCAAACGAGTAGCCCATCGCACGATGCAAGGCGGCCTTGATGGGAAGGAGAGGGTACGCATTCCATGCGACGGGTCGCGAAGTGGACTCGGAGCTGTTCTGCAATACTGGTAGATTGGTCCACAGCTCCAGACGAGCAGCGCCATTGGCTAGCGAGGCTGCATACTCGTCCATGGGATATTGTGCAGCGAAGCTGAGACCATCACCGCAAGCTTGGTCTAGAGAGACGGAGCGGAAAGTGTCCAGCGCAGGCTGGAAAATAGGTGCGAAACGCATCGTGGAAACCGATCGCAGGCCAGCAGATGGCGCTTCGACGACAATACCAACAAAGGTGCGCGTATAGGGAGATCGGAGAGAAGGTACCGGATGGGCCTCAAGCGCGTCCGCGGTAGACACATGTATATAGCATTCGCCAAGACAGGGTTCACAGGAGTGCGTAGAGTGTGGGGTGGACAGAGAGCCCCAGACTCGGTGCAGGAGGAATGGAGCAGCAGGCAAGCCAGGAGCCAGCGTTGGGGGCAACAACACATCTGAAGGCACGACGGCCACAAAATACCCTCGCGTTGCGCGCTGTCAGTCTCAGGAACGCGAAACTTTTGCGAGCCGAGGCGGCGATCGGACAAGTTCAAGAGGTCCGCCAGCCACGTAAGTTTGCGATGGCGTTGAGTCGAGGCGCTTGGCGCCATCGATGCTGCTGATAGGGATCAAGTGCTCGGGTGCATCTGCAGTTGCACGAGTGATGCAGGCCACTGCATGCCTCTGCACGCTTGACAGGTCTAGTGGTGCGGACGCTGAGCACCGCAGCGGAATCCTTTGCGAGCCAGCCACAGCGGGGTGTGGAATTGCTGGTCCGTTTTTTTTACAGACACGTGGCGAAGGCCGGTTGCTGTGGTCGCGAGCTGCAGCCGCCGACGCGCTGAGGAGGGCGGTAGCGATCGAGCGCTCGGCAACGGTACAGCTCGGCGAATACAACACATCAACACACGCACACACACGCACGCGGCTATCGATTCCGACGCGTCCCTCCGCCAAATCGTCCAGCGATCGATACTGCAATCCCTCACACCAGCCTGTGCAAGGCTTGTGCTGGATCGCATGGCCTCAAACCTGGCATCTGCATGGCCGAGGCGGGGCTTCAATTCGAGAGAAAGAAAAGTCCATCCCCCCCCCCCCCCCCCCC